ACTTGAGGTTGCCGGGCTCGCGTGAAACTGGTAGAGTCGAGTCCCTTCACCAATTTTGGCTTCAAATTTGGTTCGGCTAGCGAAGAACAGAACGCACTTCTTGGCGTTGGGGAAGTTGATTTTGAAATCATCTTCGACGGCTTGGCGCACGGAGAGTAGGTTGAACTTCAGGTGGGGCGCATATAGCACATTGGCCAAGGTTATTTCTCGTTCCTTTCCCTTCGTGTCCTTGATTGTCATCTTGACATCACCAGTTCCTTTTATCGGAATCTGGTGATTGCCGCCGACAGTGATTGACTTGCCAGCACTTGGGATCAGCTTCTCAAACCACTGCGGATTGGACGTAACGTGGCGAGTGCAGCCTGAGTCGACAGTCCACACTGGGTCATGCTCCGCATCTTGGGCGGTGAGACTTACAGCCTCTGTTTCTTGTCTGAGGTCCAGAGTGGTGATGGCTATGATTCCATACTCGTTGTCGGAGTCGGTGTCCTTGCGGCGACCGTGGAATTTATTGTGACTCTTGGATTTTCCAGATGTATTCTTCTGGTTGCCGTTCTGGCTTCTGTTTCGATTGCTGTTCCGCTTGCTCTTGTAGTCATTCCGATTTTGGTTTCGTGACTTGCCGCCGAAACCGTCCTTGTAAGGATGCTGTCGAGTTTGATTGGACGAAGGTTTCAGCTTAAAGTTGGCGGGAAGCACCGTTCCTGCCTTTACCTGACCATTTTGTAGGTGGCGCTGTAGAACATAGCAGTCGCCAGTATCGTGGTTGGTGCGCAGGCAGTATGTACAGCTCATCGTTGAGATGAGAGCCTTGCTCTCTTGATAGGGAGCTTGAACCAAGGTTGGTTCAGGTGCTAAAGCATGTAGGGCCTGCTCGTTTCGGGTTTCCCTCGACTCGGGTGTTCCTTGTTTGAGCGTGTAGCAATACCTGACCATTTGAGCTATCACTTTATGGAGGGTGGCGTTTTTTCGCTTTTTTTCGTTTTATCGTCAAAAATAATCAGAATTAAACTTTAAAATATACTAGAAAAAGCGCAAATGGAGTTTAATCTAGTGATATATTACTAAAAGCAATTGAATCCATTTTCGTGTTAATTATTCTCAATTCGTGTACACACAAATCCTCATATGAACTCATTTTAACCAATCGTACCCATCTCAGAATGGACATTGACCAATCACACATGCAAAGTTTTTTATTGAAAAACCCAACTGTTAATTCTTTTCCGAAGCGGAGAAGTACTACGTTGTGACATCGCGCTAACGCCTTGATATCCTCTCCTACAAACCTGGCTCCGAGCGTCGGAGACGTTAGATTTTCGCGCTCAGAGCTGCGAGAATGTAGTCTACCCCAGTAGGTTGGATTGTCGGAGTCGCAATAGAGGGCGAAACAATGAACGGGGTGGAGCATGCTGCATGATGCGAATTATTTGGCTGGGAGGACGTCAAAAAGACCTGGAACGAGTACGAATCCTAGAGCATTGTAGCGTGAGGAGTGTATGCTGCTGGAGAGCTGAAGCGTGATGTTGTAGCTGGTTGATCCTTGGAGCGTGATTATTATGATGGAGTGCTATACCGTGGGGAGTGCACTGCAACTCTGGAGCGGGAAGATTGTGCTGGAGTGCTGAAGCGGGATGTTGTTGCGGGCCTGGAGTGATGTACTGCTGTTGGAGTACCGGAGCATGGAGTGGTTGCTGGTGTAGCACCGGGGTGCTTTGCGGGTGAACCGGAATAGTTGCGGAGCTAGGATTGCAGTACCCTGAGGAACCTCCGTGGCTTCGTCGTTGCATCTTCCAGCTTGAGCTTCTTCACGACCTTTTGATAGAAGTGCCATTATCTCGCCGCGCTTCTTGCTTTTCTCCAACAATCCCGCGATCGCCTCGTCGGTGCCGCGATGAATGGGTCGCTTCAAGACTGTATCACGTGAAGAGATCAAGTAAGTTCAAGTTAAATGTTAATGTTTGATGTGTCTAAGGTCACCTTGTTTCGGATTCAACTTCGATTGCGGTGACCCTGTGAGTGAAGACTCTGTGGTTGGGGGCTGTGAAGGCCGAAGCTGTTCTGTCGGAGAAGCACGTTTTTTTAAAACTTGTAGATGGTATTGAGAGAGCGCGGGGTCTTGACACAGATCTCCTTAGACTCCCTACGTTGGTTGTCCAATGCTTGATGGAGTCGACCTTCTTCGAGGACAACCAAGGCCCCTTCGCCATATTGGACGATGCGGAATCCTACAAAAAAGGAATCTTCACTCTCGCTCCACTCTGGCAATTCGGGCCACCGCCACCCTGTTTTGGCGCACTGCATGTTGAGCACGCGGAATCTTGAGGACGGCTGCATCCCACGCCATCCTCCGACGCTCGACCATGGCGATCTTGCAATGCTCAAAGCCGCGGAAGAAGGCGTCCGACCCAGGATCGAGTCGCACGAGCTCTCGGCGCTCGGTAAAAATCGTCCTGTCCCTGATCAATGGGACGCTAGTCGTGTCGAGCCAGGCTTGGTCCTCAGCTGCAGCGTGCAACCTTCATCATTCTCTTGTTCTTGATCGTTTCCAGCCTAGGCTGGCTTTACTTAATTTGCAATCTCGCTGATGCGTCGATCCGGAAGCCCCCACATTTAGTCGTCGTCTAAGCCTTGGTCTCCGTGGCCCTCCGGAATGCTTTCGTCCTCCGCAGCCTCTCGGAGGTGTTCTGCTGGTATCATTCAGCATGATAGGAAAGCCTAAGCATTGCATCTGAAAGCACATTACGTACCATATGCTCGATTTTAGCGGCTTGCTTAGGCTTTCCGGAATACCTCCATGAATCATTGCAATGAGTTTAAACTCCATTGAGTTCACGCAGGATCCCGACCCCTTCAGCTCTGACCTGACCTCCGTAAATCTTAATTAGGCTTTCTGGCTACAAATTATCGATCAAATTAAATATAAGCAAAAGTTCTTCTCAATAAAAAAAAAGATAGAAAGCACACATCACGTATGTTGTGACTCAATACTTGCCGAGGTGGACCCTTCTTAAAATCGAAGCTGGGATTTTGGAACCTTCATACGTTTCCCCAAAGCCGTGCGCCGCAGATTTCCTTGGAGATGGGAGCCCTCCGTCCAAGGCCAATGTCCACGCTCTCAACGGCGCTCATTCCGCGGAGCCGTTCATGCGCAAGTGTATTATCTACGCATCCGATGGTCGACATCGACTGGGGGCGCTCTGTAGCGGTCGCGTAAGTCTTAGCCAGCCCACGAGCTAGGCGAACCTCACTGGCTGCCATTCGCTTGTTCACCCTCTTCAAATGTGCTAATTGAGAAATGAAGTAGTGACTTCGAGGGCGGGTTTTTGTTGGCGCCAACACTTTGGCGCCATCGTCTGCGATTGGTGAATCCGTGTATGTAACGGGGTACAGGTCTAATATACCCTGATTACATAAAGTGTGACCTGTCACTACCTGGGATACCTGGTACCTGGTGCGAGGGGCTCATTGGTTACCATCGACGGCAGCATTCGGTGCGTTGATGACCGAATGACTTGGACTCCAAGGCAAGGCCTGTCGAACGTGAAATCGGAGGAAGAACCTTTGGAAAACGGTCAACGCTACACATCCCCGATGGGACCTCGGAGGTTCCCCCAAAAAAGGTTAGCACACCTAGAGCCAAGGTCGCGACTGTCCATGTGGTTTCTAAGAGAAGGACTGAGCTGGATGCACTCCCAAGGACTTGCCAGCCAACCAAGCAGTGGTTGGTTCTCAGTTTTGCGTAGCTGGGATTGAGTCGTTTTGTAAAGCATGGGCTACAAATAATTTAAGACGATACTAATACCATATAACTGAAAGTTTTCATCATAACTGAAAATTTTATTATTCCATGTAATTATTGCCATAATATTTTCACTGCAATGTATTATTCGGAAGGCCTGGATATCATTCGCCTAGTTGAGCCATACTACATGTATTAACTCTTTAGTACGCTACTTGACACGAATGGTTCTACATGTGCGTTGCTTGTTGTGCTTACATAGGGCAGTTGGCAGCTCCAGTGCTGATTTGAATAGGAGTCTCGCTGGAGGATGACGAGTCTTGTTGGGGGTTTTCAGTCTGTTCGGGCGTCTCCGAGTTTGTATCGGCTCCACCATCGCTTGAAGTCTGTTGTTGGACAGTTTGGTCCTCGTCGTTCTGGTCCACAGGGCCTGCCTGCGAGTCCACCATGTCAACGTCACCGCCAACCTCAGTCGAGCCTTCAATATCGACCGAGTCGGGGTCCTGCTGGGTAACTTGAGCCTCACCGTTCTCAGCGGTGGAACCCGACTGCTGGTTCGGTGCCGAGTTGTTGGTGTTGTCGTCAACATTTGCCAAATTCGAGCCCTGCTCGGCACTCTGCTGAGTTTCCTGAACCGGGTTTCCGTTGCTGGACGAGCTAGGACTCTGTTCTGTAGGATGACTTGAACTGCCGCAATCCATGTAGGTAGACGCCGACGAAGATGTTTCTGTCTCGGCACCCACACCCGATCCCGACTGCTGAGGGGCGTCGGTCGTAGAGTATTCGACCCCACCGTCCGCGCTAGATATGGTCGGCTGCTGCTGCTCAGGTGTCTGGTTATCGCTGTCTCCCGGTACGACCGTAGCAGGGACATCCGGCGATTCAGTCGAAGTCTCGCCGTCAGTACTAGACTGTTGGGTTTCGTCTCCCTCGCTCGATTGCTGAGTGGTCGGAGCCTGGGTCTCCACATCGTTGCTATCGGAGCTAGGTCCCTGCTCAACGTTCTGTTCCGGGCTATCTTCATTTCCAGAGCTCGAGGCCTGTAGGGACGACTGAGTCACGCCATTGGCTCCGCTGGTGGAGCTCATATCCTCCTGAGTAGTCTGCGAGCCTTCATCACCCGAACCGGACTGTGTGATGGGTGTAGGAGCCGTAGTTGCAGGAGCATCCGTCATCGGAGTCGAGGTGGTCGGGACAGGAGCAGGAGTCTGCGGCTCCTGTGGAGGAGTAGCAGTAGTGGGCGTCGGGGCCTTGGTAGTCACAGTCGGGGCCTTCGTCGGCACCTTCGTGGGGGCCATTGTAGGAGTGGCCGTGGTCGGCTTTGGTGCAGTGGTGGGGGTCGACGTGTTCGTCGAAGGTTTTGACGGCTTACCACCCGACGGGAACTGGTACGACCCCTTCGTGCACGAACCCGCGCTCAGAGACACCTTGTCCGTGATAGACACACCGTTGACGTCCGTCAGCGACACTGATACGCTCGACAGATCTGTCTGGGACGTGCCTGCGCCATCAAGCAGATAGTAGTAAGCACCATCCAGCATCTTCGTTTCTTGGCCGTTAATCGTCAGACTCTGGACACCAGTAGCGCAGTTGGTGGGCTGAATGGCCGTCCAGTAGTTGTTGCTGCCTCCCTTCAGACAGTAGTTGACGTTGCCTGCCACCGGGCAGTCAACAAACTTCCACTTGATCGTGTAGCGGGACGGGTGGGACCCCGTGAGCGTCTTGAAGACCGACGGTGATAAATCGAGATCACCGTGCTTGCACTCGGGACAGCGGTCGAGAATCTGCACCACGACGGACTTGGTCTGGTCAGCGCAGCGTGCGTCAGCACACGAGACCTCAACGCAACGACCACAGTTCTGGAGACCGCTCCACTGCTCGTTGTTTAGAGCGGCGTAGTCGGTGGTGGCAAAGTTGAGTGCCGACATCATGTTGCAGTTTCCAGAGCTGGTGTCACTGAGCGTGTAGGTGGTACCATCTCCAGTGAAGTATTCGGAGGCATCAGTGATTGCAAAGGTGGCCGCTGTGGCAAGAAGAGCGAAAGAAAGGGGTGACTTCATCGCTAACAGGTTGTTTAGATGTGCTTGATAGAAAGCAAAACCCGGAATGAACTTGCGAGACTTGCGCGAATCGGACACGTCCGTGGCCTCTGGTGTCAAGTGCCCAACCAACCTATTTGGCACGGGGCTTGTCTACAACCAGTGCCGTGTGAGCCGCTGGGGAGCGAGAATGGTAGCGTCGCGTTGCATTGCGATTGCCAGTGGCGACTTGGTCACGAGGAACTCGTTGTTCAATTCCCAGATGGTCCAACAAGAACACGCCGTTGACCGTCAACTTGCGAGTAAGACAAACGATAGACCGGTCTGTAACTTGTTGAGGTGCTATTCAACGCTACGATCTCGAACAGGAAACGAAGCCCTGGCCACGCAATTCTTCGAAAGCTTCAACGTTTCCTTGACTGCTGTCCGGACACTGTCCTCGCGCTGTCCGGCGGACAGCGCGATATCGTGGTATCGAATAGACACAAGCAATCTTTTGCAAATCGTTGTGAGTGACATATGCAATTGTACTTCGCGAAAGAGATTTTGAACTCGAGCTGCATTGTCGTGGCGGTGCTGCTAGGCTCGAGTTAGCAGGGCGTGGTATATTTTCTTTCACTAAAAGGGGTATTTACGCTTATAATGCTCGAGCAACGAAGGCACAAACCATCGATAACGTGCAATTCTACTTCGAAGCATTGCATGTATTGTAGCTTAGTTAATGCGTACTGTAGTGATAACGTCGTCAACGCAACAGTATTAATAGGTACCTGTACGCATGTTTTCCCGATGCTTACACAGAATGTTGTGACGATCAATAACCTCCTGCTTGTCGCCGACTTTGTTCACTGTGGTGCGCTATATTTATACCCAACCGACTTGTGCAAATCGGGGTGACCCCAGCCCAGGGTTATCTCCAGTTGTATCCTGGTATTCTGCTTCGCAATGGCCTATAAATGAAGATGCATGTAACTAACCGTCAATTTGGCATGAATGGGATAATACCGGTACTTGAATGTACTTGCACGATGCTTAAAAAGGGCACGAATGCCCATGCAATTAGTAGTATATCTCTAGAATGCTTACAGTAAGCCTTACTTACTTGGAGTCAACACGGTTCGGTTCTCCGTAATTTTCCGCAAGGAACTACATCGCGCAGTTGGTAGCTCCCGTGGCTTTGTGGCCAACTGCGGTCTGCTTTGCACCCGCGTCATGTTTAGCAGCCACAGTGTCGGTCTGTGTAGTATCCGCGTCATGTTCAGATGCCACGGTGTCAGTGTGCGTATTATCCGCGTCGTCTTCAGGTGCCACAGTGTCGGCGTCTTGTGTCGACAGACTCGATTCTTGAACGGGGTCGTCGTCGCGTGACTGCTGTTCGGTGGTAGGCACTGTCGTGGCCGGGGCCTTAGTCGCGGGAGGGACAGTAGGAGGCATAGTCGGAGACTGTGTCTTGGTGTCGCTCGTCGTCTCCGAGTGTGTCTTCACCTGAATCTTTTGCGTGACATCGCTACCGCTCGAGGAGTCGGACTCCTCGCTAACTGGGGCAGTTGTCACTGGTGCCTTCGTCGCGGGATGGATGACAGAGGGCATGGTAGGCGACGGGGTCTCCTTGTCATTGCTTTCGGAGCTCTGAGTCTCGTCGCTTCCACTTCCAGCACTCGATTCCTGCTGGGACGTCTGAGTAACCTCGTTGTCTGTTGACTCTGACGGGGCTTTTGTCGCTGGAGCATTCGTCTTAGGGGCAACAGGAGGGGGCATGGTTGCGACCGGAGCCTCCTGGCCGTGGTCGGTTCCGCCGCTTGGAGTCTGCTCCTGGTGTCCACTGGCTGAAGTAGAGTCATGATGAGTAGAGTCGTTGCTACTCGACGAGTCTGCTGGAGACGGAGCTGTTGTTACGGGGGTATCCGTCTTCGGGGTAACCGTAGGAGGCATCGTCGGTGTCGTCTGGCTGTTGCTGTCATCTGTACTTCCAGAAGTCTCATAGCTTCCACTTGATGAGCTCGGAGCAGAGTCGTCCTTTTGCCCAGCATCACTCCCACTTGATGAGGTCGACGGCTTCGTGGTAGTCGGCGTCGTTGTTGCGGGTGTCTCTGTCACGGGAGTAGCCGTAGGAGGCATCGTCGGTGTCTGCGTCTTGTTATCATCCGTACTTCCTGAGTTTGAGTCATGCTGAGACGCGCTCGCACTGCTTGAGGTGCTCGACTGTTCCGAGACTGGAGGAGCCTCAGTGCTTGGCGCGGTAGTAGCAGGAGCCGGCGTCGTCGTGGGGCGTCCAGCGCTGCCAGAATTTGAGCTCTGATGATCGTCACTGCCACTTGACGAACTCTTTTGCTGCTCGGGAGCCGTCGTCGACGGCGCCAACGTCGGAGGAATCGTTGGCTCGTTTGTTGGGCCTTCTGAGCTTCCAGACTTTGAGTTCTGGTCGTGAGAATCGCCGCTGCCACTTATTGGGGTCAATTGCTCAGTCGGAGGCGCTGTCGTCGTCGCGTCCTGTTGATTTGAGTGCGAGGACTGGCTAGGAGCTTGGGTTTCTCCGCTTCCACTTGCAGAGACCGATCCCTGCTGAGAAGCGCTACTGCCACTGTGCTGCTCTGTGGGTGGAGCTGTCGTTGAGGGTGGACTAGTTGGAGGAAGCGTTGGGGCCTGTGTCACTTCAGTATCGGCGCTTGCGGACGTCGAGTGCTGCTGAGACGCGTCACTTCCATTAGACGTTTGAGAGGCCTCGTGGTCACTCGCTGATCCTGGCAGCTCGGTGGGTGGAGCCGTCGTTGCAGGAGGAATCGTCGGTGTCTCAGTCAAGTCAGTATCAGCACTTCCAGGGTTTGAGCTCTGCTGTTCAGCTTCGCTTCCACTTGCCGCGGTCGAGTCCTGCGTGGTCTGAGAGTCATCCGGGTTGCTTGATGAGCCTGGATGCTGCTCAACAGGTGGAACTGTCGTCGCCGGAGCCAAAGTAGGAGAAATTATCGGCAACTGAGTCTCCAAGTCCCCAGGGAGTGAAGAATCGTCGTGTCCACTCGTCGAGGTCGAAGCCTGTTGTGTCTGCTCGCCGCTGCCCGCGTGTGACTCAAGCGGAGGAGACGTAGTCGACGGCGCAACCGTCTCGGGTGTCAAAGTGTGCGGCGGGGTCGGCAGCGGGGTCTCCAAACCGCCGTCCTGAGTGGTATCACTTCCGCTTGAAGAGTGCGTGGGCTGCGTGGTCGAGGGTGATTCCGTCACAGGAGGCTGAGTAGTCGAGGGCGGTTCCGTCACTGGGGGCTGCGTGGCTGTAGGAGGCTGCGTGGCTGTAGGTGGCTCCGTCGTGGAGGGGGACGGTTGTAAATGGAGCAGGCGTCGCTGTCGGCACCACCGTTGGTGCCTGGGTATCGTCCGAACTACTTCCGACAACGCTCGAGTTTGCAGAGCTGTAGCTACCCGAGCCGTCTCCCTGGTAGCTTTGGTTGGGGTTGGACGCAGCCAACGTGGCCGCGGTGGCGAGTAACACGAACGCCGCGTACGACTTCATGTTCTTCGGCTACAGTACTAAATAAGTGCTGTCTGTCGTGGTGAAAATACCAGAGTGATTATCGGTGGTGGCCTGGCCACGGTGGCCACATGGGTTCCAGCATCCCGCGCTTTGCATCGCAAACTGCTGTTCCTTTACGTCACGTGGATGCACTCTATCCTCACAGTACTTATTTTAGTAGTATTATTGTGGTTTTCATCCATTTTGGCAAAGCGGATGATCCGAGATCCACTATATCGGATCCGATTTGCTGAGCGCCGTCGAAATAGAAAGTAGGGGTAAGGTAAGATTGCTATCTCGGGCCGGATATGTCGATGGGCACTTCGAATTAAAGGGGAAGTGCCAGAATTGCCGTCTTTGGACGGCATATGTGATCTGCCCAAACTCATTTGCTAGAACACTTCCAGTCTAACCGCCGTAGGAGAATTATAGCACCCTTCTACTCGGCAATCGCGCTACAGTATGCATACGTTTAGTGTTTACCTCTTCCTCAATAAGTAAAACTGAGTTGTGGGTGGTAAGGTCGTCTGGAGATGACGTCGCCCTCGTCATTAAGACCTGAAGTAGGGTCACATATAGCTAATTCAAGCCTTATTACCCTACACCCTGCCCAATTTATTTAAATCGGGCCCCGAGATAACACAGCAAATCGGGCGGCAAAATTGATGAAAACCACAATAATATATGTTGGACAGGACTCCTAACCGTAGGAAATCCGAGGAGACCTAAACGGTTCTTCTAACAGAAAACTGCATTATTGTTTAAAGGTACAGATACCGGTATGGATACAGTATTAATACTGTATTAATAGTGCTCACTCGATGCGACGACAGTGCTGCAACAGCAGTGCTGTGTTCAACATTGTACTGTACATGCAGGTTGAACATTCAAAAACTTTGGGTTCATGCACCGCGATCGTGATGTCGAGCTCATCCGGAGTTTTCTCTTGAAGAATTGAGCACATTAGAAGGATCCAGTTCTGTACGTGTAGCGGTATTACATGTATAATCGCTTCTTTTGAAGTAACGTTAAGCTGTGACTCTGGCCTGTTGTGACTAGCCGCCGCGAACTAGCTCTCGGTGGCGTGCTGTCACTCACCTGACTCACCCTATCAGCTTTCGACCTATTGCCATGGCTCTTCTCTGGGCCTTCTTTCCCGGAATACACCGCTACTCATTCTTATTCTTACGCTCCTGACTCGCCACGCGTCCGTAACTTGTCAAGCGTCCACTCTCCTTGCCTCAGTCCTTTAAACCGACTCTGACCACGCAATTCACCGACGATTCGGGTCCCACTAAACCTCGCTAGCTAAAGCCACTTGGATCACGCCTCTGGCGCCTACCCTACGGCTTGCAGTGTAGGAAATGTAGAATCGAGTAGATATGAATGACTTGGATTGAACGCGTGCCAGACGCGTTTCGGCCCCCGCCGGGGCCTCATCAGTGGCTTTACCAATCTCGAAGTGAGAACTAACCAACCATCCACTAGCTAAGACCTATCACTATGCCTAGATCCTTCTAGAACCTTCCATATGCCGTAACATAGAATACTACTCTGGAGTCGATGTACGTGCACATCTTGCACTTCCAACGCTCCCCCTCGACGACAGGAGTCGTAGCCGTCTTGGTCACGAGAGTACAGCCATCGGCTGCTCTCCGCATGATGCTTGTCAGCTGCAGCCTCTTCACTGCATACATTCTTGTAGGGTTTACCACCTGCGCGCTGGCCAGCGTAACCGTTGCTGCCGCGATCGCTAGGTTTCCCGGCTCCCTCATGTTCACCACCACGTCGTCTCTTGACACCTTGTAGCCGTCCTTGAGCCTTGCTTGAGCTTGTTGTTGTTCCCCTTCTCGATCGACCTCTTTCGATCCACCGCTCACACCACTCGAAACCACCTCCTTGTGCAGAACTCGGCCGTCCTTTTCCCGAACGCAAAGAGCGACTGCGTGTCCACCGCGCACTTGTATGTTCCGCTCCCCCTGTCGTCGGAGCCCGTTGCTTCAGCGACGACTTGAGCCTGAACTCCCCCAGCGCGTATTCCGCGTACACCGCAGTGCCCATACCAAGCCGTTTGGGCTCATAACCTGTAGGAAATGTAGAATCGAGTAGATGTGAATGACTTGGATTAAACGCGTGCCAGACGCGTTTCGGCCCCCGCCGGGGCCTCGTCAGTGGCTTTACCAATCTCGAAGTGAGAACTAACCAACCATCCGCTAGCTAGGACCTATCACTATGCCTAGATCCTTCTAGAACCTTCCATATGCCGTAACATAGGATACTACTCTGGAGTCGATGTACGTGCACATCTTGCACTTCCAACATGCAGCCACACAATAACTCGGAGGGTCCTCTCCTACTCGTCTAGTCGCCCGTCGCTGTCGTTGCTCCTCGCGTCCACCAGTGCACCGACCGCTGGTTGTCCGTCCAGTCCCACCTCTCTTCTCTTGTCTCCTTTTTTTCTTCTCGTGTTCGTCCTCTGACCGTGGCGTGCACCCCACCTGCTGTCTCGCACGTCTCCGGACTCACAGTTGCTTACGTCTCTGTGCCGACTGCGCAAATCTTAAAGTGAGAGTCAATCTGGTACTGCTCTCCGTCCTCACGTCGCTTTCCCTCGGCATATCGGGTTCCTGCTGCAATCTTTGGTCGCTCCTGATTGGCTCGTAACCCCAACGCGTCGCTGCCAGATACAAGGTCGCGTTTGTGCGGTCCCCACTCGCCGCACCACAGACGCCATGTAGCCGCTAACATCACTGACGCACCCAATATCTCGCATGTGCTTGCTACTGCTCGATTCCTTATTAATCAACGTTAATGCCCTATAGCAATACACTGAAGAGTGCACTGTTTGTCAGTAGTTGTTGACCCGCTGTCTCATGGCCGCACAAGTCAGTGACTATCCCTTGGCAACTCAGTAAAAACTGGACCCCATTGCTGGCCGTTTGGGTACCCCCACTGACCATTCTGGTTGTGTTAGCCCCATTGCTGGTCGTTTCAGTTGCTTTGGTAGAGGTCCTGCTGCTGGGTGGGTGAAGTAGCTGTAACGTTAGCCGCTGGCGTCAGTGTGAAAGACGAAGGAGACGACGTAACCACACTATATGTCAGCGTTCCCACGGTCGGGGTCTGCGTGGGGGCGTATTTTCACGACTGACCCCAAAACGGGCACGCTTTATCAGCTCCGACCCCCAAATCAAAACATGGACATTATCCAGTCGTGATTAGGAGCAGCTACCGTATGTATTATTAATAGTGAGCAGTGGACGTTAAGGGGAGCACGCTGTAATTGCACAAAACAGTACCATCATGGCACCGTGAATTACTTAAAACACCGTCAGAATGTGTCAGCACAGAAGAGTGCTGTAGTAACACAATAAGTGGTTTCGGCTCTGCTCGCTGCAGGAAGCGCGCAGACAAGGTGAGCTTGGGTCTTCGCTGGCCTATCAGCGGTGGCCGTGCAGATATGTGGCGAATGTGGCCCACATAGGTTTAAAGCTGCTGGACGTCACTCGCAGAGCTCCTGTTCGGCGAGTGTGGCCATGCCGAAGCGTGTGCCGTGGGAGGAGAGGGCCGTCGGCATTGACGCTGCCGCGGCCGACGCTGTGATGGAGACGATGAAGGCGTTCGAGATCCAGAAGAGTCAGACGATGGCATGCAGCATGTGTATTGACGCAGAGCACAAGATGCGTTACCGCCTACTTACATGCAGCTTCGGCCTTTGCTGCGAAGCTAGTGAGTTAGACTGCGAGTGGCGAGGAAAGATCGTTACGTGCCTGGAGACAGCGCACGTATCTATTTTCGAGTATGGAGCTCACAACACCCGTGTATCCTCTCCAAAGAGCAAGAAGCTCACTACTACGCAGAAGATCTACTGCCGCGAGCTCGCTGATGAGCACCTCCGACCTATGCGTATTCGCCACGCTCTAGCTCGAAAGTTCTCGACGCCTCTTGAGGATCTCCCTCCCTTAAAGACTGTCCAGAACTTTGTGAATAATTACTCGCGAACTTACCTTGAAAATCACGACCGAGTACAGGAGCTCAGGGCCTGGGTCCACGCGCGTGCGTACACCGGCTTGGAGACAATGACGCAAACGTTCACGTTTGGATGGGAGCTAGACAGCAGTGGCAAACCGATTGTGGGCAATGGGTCCGACGAGAAACCCTTCATTGTGGGTCTATCAATGAAGGCGTTAATGCTGCGACTTACTGTGCCCCCACAGAACTTCATCTTACACGTTGACGGGACGTATAAGATGAATCAGTGTGACTATCCAGTTATAGTGGTGGGGATATCTGACAGGTCGCGCAGATTTCACCTAGTTGCTCTATTTGTGGTCTCACAGGAGACTCAGTCTGTATTTGAAGCTGTATTCTTTTCGTTGCGACGAATCTACTTCTGGATCACCAAGAACGACCTACGCATTCAGTACGCGATGGCAGACGGCGATAAGGCACAGTGCAACGCCCTTGCGTTGGTGTTTGGAGGCAATCCGTCTTACCGCTTCCTAATGTGCTTCTTCCATGTAATGAAGAAGGTTCAAGAGCGTATTCGGAGCTTTTCCTCCGGTGTGGCAGCCACCGTACTTCGGGAGGTATATGACCTGCATTTTGCACGCAGTGAAGCCGCCTATTTAGAGATGCTGCGTGTCATTATGACGCGGTGGCTGAAGGAACCTGCGTTGGTCCAATTTGCTCAGTACATGCATGGACAATGGTTGACTGGTCTCTTCACTACGTGGCAGATATTCGCCACACCCAGTGGCTTCGCAACGACTAATAATCCAGCCGAAACGTTTAACGCGTTGATAAAGCGGGACTATACGCTACGTCGCCGCTTAAAAATGGGCACTTTACTACGAGAGTTGAGCGCCTGTTGCCAAGATCAATCGTCCAGTACGAAGGCATTCGAGTTTGGCGTGGTTCCGACACCAACCCTCGCGCGTCGGGTATCGGAGTTGGTACGAGCACAGCTCCTAGGGATAGCAGAAGGACAAGAAGTGGATGCAGTGAGTGGAGGAGTAGCTGGAGAGCCCAATATCATTCGTGTCATATCGCTACCTGCCCCTCGTGTCACGGTGGCGCCTAATAAACGGACGGAGGAAGGTATAGCTGTTTCCGCGCAGATGGGGGTCAATTACGCCCGCAAAGAGGTCGAAGGACAGCCGTTTGGTGGTTGGCACGTGGATGCCGAGCGACAGTGGTGTCAATGCGACTACTGCTACGCATTTGGTACGTGCATTCACGTCCTGTACGCCCTGCGAGCTACTACACACGTTGACAGCAGTGGGCGCGACATTTTAGTCAACAGGAAGAAGCGGAGACGTTATGGAGTGGCGGTCCTGCCGGTTGTAGGCCGTCCGCGCACAATCGGACCTGCACTTAGCTTTGAATGACTTACACGACGTTTGCTCAAGCGTCGTGTGTGGCCCCGACGCAGTTAAACACTTTATACAGCATCTTACATCTTCAGCAGACATAGTAAGTGTCCTGTAAGCGAAAGCGGTACAGTTTGCATGACTCCAGAATTTGTATTCTTTCCTTTTACATGCTAAAACTGTGTTTACTTCCTGCTAGCATTATGTACTTCGAGATACACCTGAGGGTATGCACCACAACCGCAAGCTAGTCATCTCCATCGTCGTCTTTGGTTTTCTCCCAACATTCATCACACGCACACTTAAACCACCTCTCATTCCCGTAGTGTACGGTAATTTCTGCACCAGCTTTGACGTCGCGAATCATCTTTACAAGCACCTTGACGCTGGAACGGTTGGACTGCTCTACGAAGGCGGCGTTGGGGTCACAGGAATGACTTATGAAACGGGTGATAGAGCCGCACTTGAGCGCATCTACGTAAACGTAGTTTCGTTTCGTAGACTTCGCATTGTACAGCAGTGTGTAGCCGCTGTTTTGCTTGGTGGCTTGATCCGGCTGCCCCTCGACAATTGCTGGAAACTCACTTAATTCCCCACAATACTCGCCAACAACGTCACCGATATCCAGCCAGGTCGTCGTGAAGACGCCTAAACCAACTCGTCCAGTATCGAAAAGTTTTAATGTATCGAGCGTGCGTGGAGCATTGCTGCACATCGCACCGAGGCTGCAGCAATCAGGAGTGCAAAACGTAGCACTGAAAACGTTCTTACAACCGTCGAGGAAACAATCAATGACGCACTCGCACTTATCAAACTTTCCGATGTCTGGAAAGAGAACGCCATTGCTTTTGCAGCTCGTTAGGTGCTCAACGTCATCTGGCCACTCCAATCCTTGGTGCTGCAGCGACGTCGCTTCCTCCTCCTGGGACGGAGTCTCCGGCAATGACTTGCGTCGATCATGAAGGTTCTGTAGGCGACGTTTTACCTCTGGTGAACTCAGAATGTCTTTCATACGACTCGCCTTCAACGTCCTGGCATGATAGACGTTCATGCCACTACTAGTAACCGCACACTTCTTCTGATTACAGCGCTTCCTCGACCTTGGCACATGCCACTCAGCACGCCTCTTCTTAGGCTGGTGGCGAATCTTGGCTCGTACATACCGGGTTGGGATCGCCTTCACGTACGCAGCAGCCTGATCCTCCGTAGATACAGCAACCCCACGCTCGTCATCTTCTTCAGACGAAACTAAATTGATAATCTCCAAAATAGACGGTCTTCTGCCTTCTTCCTCTCTTGTATTCTCCTTCACGTCATGACTAGCAATTGCTCCAGACGTTAGCGCCTCCATCGCATCAGATTTGGAGCTGCTAAGTGCGGTCCCAGGCTGAATGTGTGTGTTTGGACTATCGAAGTCCGATTGAGGGCTCTCAGGGACAATATCCTCACGCATATCTCGTAGTGCCTGATGAACGGCTGCTACTGCATCACCCACAACACTCTGAAGCGCTCGTTTTAGTACGCTAGAGGGTGAAGGGGCCGGCACAGATCCACCTTCGAGCTGGTAGGTCCGGAGTTTGCGCCACTGCGACTCGGACAGCGGAACCGGGGCGCCCGAGGCGTCCGACAGCCTCTTCGTCATCATATCCAACGGTATGGGCTCTTCCGTGTCGACGGAGATCGGAAAATCGACGTCAGGAGTGGTGTCCACTCTGGTGACGACTGCAATGCGCTGACCTCTAGGGTCTCCACAGACAAAGGCTCGGGTGTAATACTCAAGTGTCTCGCCGGCTCTGAGGGTCTGGGGTAGTAGATCCGACGCGCTCAGCCCCACCATCGACAACGTCCCGCTGCTGGAGGCGCTGGTAGCTCGTTGGTTGTGGTCGCTGCTGCTGGGACCTGCGGGAAGATACGATAATGAGTGTAAGACCACACAAAACAGCAATGACACGCTACATTCATCGCACCTTCATGTGACCTGCTTTCGCTGGCTTGTCAACCCTACCCCACTGTACAGACCGAGAGCCGCCTACTGCAAATCGTAAAGCTGGCCTGTCCGCGTTTATTGTGGGGGATGGGCTATTGTGTTACTCAGATTTCTACTTGTGAAAACTATATTTTCTCCGTTAAGGGAGTATAAAAGCTCGGGAAGTCGAACGTGTTAGAGACCTTCTGAGTGATTACAAATATAAACAATTTATTCGTTGATTATGAATGTGCAAGTAATTTGAAGCTTCGAATAGAATTTGACAAAGGGTGCTCATACGGTAGCTATTTTCCAACTGGTATGGCCGGCGGCAAGATCGATCGTTTTGCTCAGCGTGTACGAGGAGCAATTCAAGTTAGATATGCTGTTTCATCAGCTCCTGAAGCTAGCAGATTTTTAAAGAATGTTGCATTAAAC